CAAGCAGCAGAATGATGATGTATGTTTACATCAGTCACACAGCTCCAGTCTGTATCAACGCCAAGGCAGCTGAAGAAACTCAACTGAACCGTCGGTGTGAGGCGGCCCGATCCGATGGGAGATGAAGCAGACAAGTGCTCCCATCTAGTGGACAAAAGCAGCCATTACACTTCTTAGTGTATATTATAGGAATCGTTCTGATTCTACCTGCTGCAAAATTGTTGTTTGTTTGTGGACACTGTAGAGCAGCCTGGCCGAAAGGTCGAGGAAGGCGTCAGGCGAGCAGGAAAAGAGGTGAAGATGTTGCCTTACTGTCCATTCACGTGAAACTCAAAGGGACAAAAGAATTCAAGAAGACAAGTACAAGGAAAAATAATCTTAAAATGAACCCATTTTCAAACAGCAGGGTCGCTCCTCTCTACTCCTTATATGTGGTGCTCGTTCACACCTGTACCACTTCAGCCCTACCATCACACAGCACGGTGACCTATTCTACGACCTCAATGCAAACAGAACTCTGAACAACATCCCTGTACACACTACAAACTTGTTTCTAAAAGTCTACCTTACAGATAAACACTAGAAGTCACTCCTGAATGATGCCTTTTAATGCAAATGAAAAATTCATCAAAAAACATTTTTTTTAAAAACCCTCCACTTGGTCCGGTCCAGTGATGTCACTCAAAAATCCAGGAAGTGCTCGGCCGGCCTCCTCCCAAACACCTGCAGGATGAGTTCATTTCAGTTGTCTGCTTTGAGGTCTTTTGGCTGAAAATAAATCAAGATTTTAAAGAAACCAAACTAGAAAATGTCCCACCGTACACTGTTTAAGAGTTTTTCACTTGACTAAAACATTCACAGTGAAAACTTGCTGTGCGTCATTTAAAATGGGATTCTGGTTGTTTCTTCACATATTAAACAGTGTTAAACATGAGGATGGTTTGTATTGAATTCAGTCTCTGCTCCTGCACTGGTTTACAAAAACTGTCTCTCATGTTGTCTTTGGTTTAAAACACCTGCTGCTGTTTGTTCTTTATGCCAAAAAAATAAAAAAGAAGTGACTGCTAAAGTTGAGGAAATGTAAAAGGAAAACAACACTATCTGTACCAACTGTTTGAAAGACTACATAGCTGAATCAATTTAATATTTTAATTTGAACATTTACTTCACTCAGATGATTTTACATTTTAAAACTCATAAGATGACATTGAAATAATTATTCAACCTCAGTTCAGATGTTTCTAAGTTAAAAAACCTTTTAAGGACAGAATTTACTTCCTTTATAACGGATTCCATGACATGATGTGAACTTTTTGGTTCTGCATCCCCAAATTTCTGCAGATGTTCAGCTGCACATTCATACTGTTGGTAACAAAACCCAAAGATGTTCTGGTTCTGGTGACCAGAATGGCTGCTGAAACAGCTGTTACGTTCCAGTTTGACTTGATGTTTCCTTTGAGACACAGTGCATCATCATGCTGGAAGTAGTGGTTGAATTTTAGCCATAATGGGAAGCACATGATCAGCAACAATACCCCACACAGTTCCACCAGCAGCAGCAGCAGCCTGGACTGTCAACACGAGGTCGGTTGGGTTCACAGACTCACGCTGACCCCCGTTATCTGCAGCTTCAGCAGAATATCAAGATGAATCAGTCCAGGCAGCGTTTCTCCAGTCTTGAACGGTCCAGTTTTGTTGACCCCGACATGCTCTGAGATGATTTTCTGCTCCGGTTATCTGCTGTAGACCTGATTAGCTCATCCAGTCTGACCATTTATCTCCAACTTATCTTGTCAACGACAGTTTCTGTCACAGAAACGCTGCTCACGCTGTTGTAATTATTTCCATTTGCATTTGACATCATCTCTAACAATCTTTTGAATCCACCATCAGATCTGACTCTACTCTCTGGAGTTTTGGTAATAAGTTGTGTGGTGTCTAACTTCTTGGATAATCTTTACCGAATCATTGGAGAGACGATCAGAAAAATAAAACGTGCTTTTGGTTGCTTCCTTTTTTGTAAGACGGAGGTGTTCGTTTTCTCTTGTTCGTTTCACAGCAGGAAAAGCACCGGCTGAGTGGTCTGTTCATTTGGATGTATGAAGCCGTGGAAGTGGGCCAACATGTGCAGCGTCAGGGTCTACTTTAAATGGAGCACAGCCGTGGTTAACGTTATCAGCTACACCTGTCTGTGTGACACACAAAGCAAAGGGCCTGCCATGAGAAACACCTCCCTCACTCCTTATCTGTCAGATAAGACGCAGCAGATCCTTCACCTCAGCCAGAGCAGAAATACTGAACAAAAAAGGTTTTCAAGTGTCAGTTCAGTTTAAATCTATTAATATAGCACCTGTCATATCAGGACCCTTCAAGCCGAAGACCTACAATATTAAATTATAGCGAGAAACCCAACAAATCCAAAGATCCCCTGTAAGGAAGAACCCTCCTGAGTGGCCTGACTCAACAGGTCGGGTAGAGAGAAGAGAGAGAAAAGAAAAGCAGTGTGTAAGAAAACAGTAAGCACTGGACAGGTTGGTGAGGCCAGTAACAGCAGATCAGACATGTGTAGCTACCTGCAGATAAGACAAAAGACAAACTGAATGACATGCAAAAAAGGTTTATAGCTGTACGGAGAGAGAACCTTCAGGGATGATTAGATGGTGGTCTTAGCTATGAGCTTTACCCAAGAGGACATTTTAAGGTCTAATCTTAGCTGGTTCTACAGGAAAGGGGCCCGATAGGCTGAAGGTTCTGCCCTCAATTCTGCTTTTGGAAACTACAGGAACCACAACCGTGCCTGAGAGCAAAGTGTTTCTGTTGGGGTGATACAGCACAACAAGGTGCTGAAGGTCTCTGCATGTCAGGAGGAGGATTTTTAATGTTGATAATATTGTGTAGGTGCCGTCTTGTGCTGCTCTGACCCACAGTGACCTGAATGTGGAACCTCTGAAGGTGTCCTGTGGTGTTTGGCAGCCGGTCCTTTGGGTCCTGTGGGTTGTGGCGGCTCTGTGGCTCAGTTTGAGAGGTGGGTCAACACCTCAAGCTGCACCTTCTTGTGTTTCTCGAGCCGTTCCTGAGCAGCTGGCTCTTAGGGGCTGTAAGGTGGGTCAGTGGTTAGCGTCGTTGCCTCGCAGCTAGAAGGTCGTCGGTTGGCGTCCCGGTGAGGACACCCGGGATCTTGCTGCGTGGAGTCTCCATGTTCTCCCCGTGCAGCGTGGGTTCTCTCCGGGTTCTCCGGCTTCCTCCCACAGTCCAGAAACATGCTGAGGTTAATCGGTGATTGTAAATTGTCCGTAGGTGTGAATGTGAGTGTGCTTGGTTGTCTGTCTCTAAGTGTAGCCCTGTGATAGACTGGTTACCTGTCCAGGTGAACCTGCCTTCACCCTGAGTCAGCTGGGATAGACTCCGCCCCCCACGACCCTATATGTATAGATGATGGATGGATATTCTTTACATGATTAAAGCTGGATTTAAGGAGTTATTTACTATAGCTGCAGCTTTATGCTTTGTTCATTTTGAAGTCTGGGTCATCACGACCAGAACCAGAACCTCTGACTTGATGATTGATTACTTTTACGTCTAACAATCAAAAAGACAAAACCTTTCCTAACTCTGACCGTCCTCCTTTGACTCGGCCACAAAGTATATTAATTTAGGAGAGGAAACGATTGAGGGCACCGCATTGCCTAGAATAACATTTATGTTTAATTTGCCTATTCACAGAATAATGTGTTTGTTCAGGTTCTTGAGCTGTGCTTCTTGGAGGCTTCACAGAGGCCACAGCTCTGCTGCCAGCTTCAGCTCAGTCCGTGTCTGCATTCCTGTGCAGCAGCAGCACGACGGCCACATCGCTCTGAAACACATCACGCTCACTGATGTCTAGAAAACACAACAGTGTGCTGCGCTCACACGTTGGCATCGTTCAAACCCCCAGTGGAACAAGTTTATGTTAAAATATTGCAAAACCAAATAAAAATCATTTTATATGGTTGTACTTTAGGCTTGTGGAGATGAACGGTGCCAGGCAGCGAACAAAGTCTTCCTTTGTGGTTTCTGCAGATGTTTCGGTGCCTGAGCTCAGCGTGTATAATTAGAAATAATCACTTAGCCGAGCTTCATGTCGGTGGAGTGTGAACTTTCCACGTTTCTGTTCCTGAACAACACCGGGGTCATCCTGGGACCGTCGCATTCGATCCAACCAGCTGAGGGACAAAAAAAAGCAGAGCAAACTCGTGACATTAGGTTTTGGTAATGTGCATAAACACAGCTCCCATAAGAACATATGAACGGCTTCTCAACTGCTCCGTTTTTCAGCACCAAGAAAAATAATATTAATAATTTGTCCTTCAAGCTGTTTGAACAACAAGCAACAACAAACGTGTTGGAGCTGCTTCTGAGGCTGAGCAGCCTGTAAACACAGACAGAGAGATGGCTGTGTACACTGGAGACGATTACACGGTTTACTGGTTGCAACTGAACTGCAGTGAAATTAATTAAAATGAATACGAGCAGCGAGCTGATGAGGAAAATTTAAAACAACCGTGGATCTGAGATTTTGACAAGAAAATAACTTTCCAAACATTTAAAGTGAATACATGTTTGTGAATCAGTAATTTACTAAAACATGTTGCTGAAGGCGACACCAAAGAAAGACCAATAAACTAATTCACACACACCTGAAAAAAGGTGAAGAAGCAGAAGAAGGATGATGTTAAAATGAGAGCGAGTCTCTGGAGCTGATGACAACCAGATGAGAGCATTAAAATGCTGCACATGAGAGCCAGAGGGAGAGCGAGCAGGAGAGGGATCAGATGTGGACGGGAGGAGGAGAGAGAGCTCGAAGACAGACGGAGTGAGATGAAGATGAAGGAAGTGTGCGGCGGGATGTTAGGCGAGGCTGCAGATGCACTTTAAAGGTAGAAGTGCACGCCGGCAAAGCAGGAGGAGAACTCCAGACCTCTGCCCAGCCTCAGTTACATGAAGCCGGTGATCCGACCAACATGCTGCCCTGGAGGATGGTTATCGTCGGGCTCTTCTACTGCTGCATCAGGACAGGTGTCGCACGATGTCCAAATACAGGTAAGGTCTGAAGTGGAGCTGAGGGCAGGATAGCAAACAGTTGGGTTGTTGCATGTGCCTTTCAGACACAGAAGTAAACAGAAGAATTAAATGAACTTACTTTCAATCCAAAATCCTGACTTGTTATGCAGTCATGGTTAAATGAATCTTCCTTACCTGTACTGTAGGTGATTTTGTTCATTTTGTTTACATGCTCAAGCTCACAAAACAATATTATCAAGAGAAACCTAACAAATCCACAAACTTGTAGCTCCAATATATCGCTTGCAGAATGTTTTACTTTTATCCTCGTCTCGCTCCTACTGTGGACTCAAACATCATCTGTTTTTAATAAGTGACTGACCGGGGTCATACACTGATCTGAGCGAGGGAACCCTCTCTGAATAATAAAAAGCACACTGCCAAGATGTTCAGACCACCTCGTGCAGGAGGATTCTTAATGACGTGAGATGTTTTTGTGACTTGATAAAGACTCTTGCACTGTTTCAGAACACACTACAGAAGGAAGCAAATTAAACTAATGAGCAGCAGTTCTGGTGGTTATAACAAATATCTGGTTTTGGTTAAGGACACTTCTCCAGCGACAGGAAATCAAAATTCAAGGAGCGCGTCGTCATAAAAATCTGGAGTCATCAGATTCTTTTTTGGAAGGTCAGCTGCTGAACACATGAGCTCTGATATGATGCTGCATTATTTCTGGCTGCGTATAATTTTTATTTTTTTTTCCAAATAATTACCTTTTACTGCCAGGTGGAGCTGCCAAGCGTATAAAGTCGCCCAGCGGAGGTTTAAAGGCAACACGAAAACTCGTGATCTTGGTTTTTCCTCACTTTTTGAAATCACAGCATGGCTTCCATCAGCAGCTCATATGGGCCTCGGTATCAGTGAGTCCTGTACGACTGCAGGCTGGCTCAGGCTATGTAGTCTCCAGATATAACAGGACTGCACCGTATTTATTAAGTTCTGGAAGCAGCTGGACCAGGTGTGTTTAATACTGATGAAATATGTATTCCAATAAAACTGGTCAGAGGAAGTATCCACGTCCTTTTACATGAAGGTGTGTTTTAATGCACAAACATGCATTAAAAAATTCAAAAGTACACAATGTACAGAACAGGCTCGTGTAAATGTTGTCCTGTAACGGATTATATCATTATTTTACACATTAATGTGTAAGTTTAACTGTATTGTCGTGTTCGGTTTCACTGGAAGTCATTATTATCCTATACAACTAAGGTTTATTTTCCTTATAGGAATAATTTCCTGAGTTTTAAAACAATTTTAATATATTTTTTTAATTTTTTGATTAACCAATCATGTGGCAATAGTTAGAAATACCTGTTATAATTACAAAAAGCCCAAAATTACATCTTTGGAAAATCCAACCAACAAATCTCAAAAAGTATCACAAATAAAAGAAAATATTAAAATAATTCAGTGTAAATGACCCAATTCTCACACTTGAGGAGTCATTTTTACCCATTTTACAGTTTTATTTGCAAAAACCTCCATTAGTAAAGTTCCTTGTGTCCTTATTTACAATCAAGTAGAAGGAAAAGACAGAAAACACTCACCAGTACCTCAGATTTGCACTAAAGTACAGTGTTTTAGTTAAATCCCACCAGTGATAATACATGTGTATGCTATGCACGTTAATACGTTTTATGGAAATATAGATTCACATGTTTAATCTTGGTGATTTAGGAGACTTGAGAAAAAGTTCTCCTGTTTAACAATGGCAGCCCTTAGTGGCTTTATTGGGCCTTGACTGATGGAGATCATTATCTAAACATTAAGACCAAAGTGTGGGAAAGATTTGAGTCTATTAAAACATCATCTTGTTTCACTTGTTGCTGCTGAAATAAACAAACAGGAGGCTGGGAGGGGAATAAGTTGGCCTTTGCTTAGATGACTCTGGCCTATTAATGAATGTTTCCACACATCGGTCTCACTTTAGTCCATCTAAATGTTCTGAACTGTTTATGTGACTCATAAACAGCCACCACCACTTGTCTGTATGTTTCCCCTTCACCTTCATTTCCTTAATTTATCCAGATTTTTTTACCCTCTAATAAAACCAGCCGATGATTCTGGACTGTAAATGAAAGCAGCCATCCAAATCTCTCTCTGGTCTTCATTTCTTTGTCCGAGCTAGAACCATGGCTCTGTTATAAAGTCAGTCACTTGGTCACTGGGTAAACCCCGTTTCTATCTGAACAACTGCTGGACGGATTCCCGACGCTGCAGGCTAAAGTCATTCATGGCCCTCAGCGGCTGACTCATCGTTAAGCTAATGACACCGCCTGACTTTCGGACCATCATGTGGTTTCCTGTAAACTGTCTCGGACTTTCATTTGGTGCAGGTTTTCATCCTTAACTTCACATTTAGCTCCATAATTCCATCAAAACACTTTAACACTTCACATTTCCATCAGCCTCAACTGGACTCGTCATGAATTCTGGACATGTTTTGTTGGGCTAAATGGGTTTTGAGCACGGCAAAGGACCATTTTGCATTGTATTGTCTGTTTAAAAGCATACGGGTTATATGTTTTCATGCTCTAATGGTAAAGCTCGTGAGCATGATTTGATGTTGTTGTTACCATCCTGGTCTAAATGCTGACTTTAAAAGATGCTGTGAGACTGTGGCCGACATCCGAAGCCCGTCCACCGCTTGCTGAAATCATCTGGAGCCGGTTGTATGATCCATGTGCTGCTCCGCCTTTGATTCCTCTGCCGTCTTTGAAGTCAGAGGTCCCGTCTCATTGTCTGCAGACAGAAATCGTCTGTAGGGTCAGAGATCGCAGAGTTTGAAATGCTCATCGTAGATTAAGTGCAGGATGTCCTGCTGTGGGCTGGACGAACCTGGTGCTCACATGTTCCACAACATCAGCAAACCCTGTAAAAGCTGCATTTCATGGTGCCTAACAGGGCCCATTGTGTGCTCGTCACACGGACGTCCAAGGATTTCAGGCTAAACGGATGAAAGTCTTTTGGGTCCAGAGCAATAAACTCACAAGACAAACGCATGTAATAAAACCTAAAAGAAGACCTGAGGTAATGAAAGTACTCTTGCTTTTGTAGGACCTCTAATTCTTACTGTGTGTCTCTTTACACACCAGCTTTATTCCCAGCTGCGAGCAGAGTAAAGAGAGGAGCACCAGCAGCGGTGAACCCGACCTTCCACAACTCCTTCGAGGATGTTCATCTGTTGTTTGAGGTGAAGCAAAAGTACTGACTAGAAACTAACAAACTATCTAACATCGAATGGGCACTTGGAATAATGTCTGGTTTCCTTTTCACCGCGTAGATCCTGATGGCCGGTGTACAGTTTGAAACCAGCGGAGCGTTTTCAGTCAACGATGCCGAACTGGCTTCCCTCCGAAAGACAAGAAACCTGGACGTCATCTGCGAAGACGTCATTCCCAAGAAGCTACCGGACGTGTCGCGGCTCGTATCTGACCTTTCTAATCACACCTGTCACCTGGACCAGGACGACTTCGAGCGCACCCTGTTGACTTTGGTGTACACAACCCAGCAGATGGTCACTTCCAGAACCGAACACCACAGAGACGCGTGGGCCGAGTCTTTTGTCGGCTTGTACAAAGCCATCAAGAAGGATCTGACACTGACAGACTGAGTGAACGCCACTGATGCTACAGAATGGGTCCATATTGAAGTTTAATATGTACATAAGAAAAACACTTTCATTTTTATTTAGAAAAATCCATTAATATTAGTCAGTAGTCCTGATTTGTGCACTGAGGAAACGTTGCATCTTGTATGCTGGCAGGCTGTGAGGAGCCTGAGAGGAAAGTCCTGTCAGAAACAAACATGTAAAGTGCACAAACACAGTTATTAAAGTATCGACTGTTACAGCAGAAGTCCAACATGAGGTACTGTATGTACATGAAACTATGTATTGGATCTGTATGTTGCATTAAAAGTCATGGATTTATTTACATTCACATGTCTTGTCCGTGTTTGTTCTCTAGCACCTGCATTCAAACTGATAGAACATCAAGTTTTAAACTGAGGAAATCACAGGTTATACTCAGAGTATGTTCTGTGTGAATACAGATTACTGCACAGGAAGCGAGGAGTGGGGGCGGGGCTTCAGCACATGTCAGCCGTCTATAATCAGCAAATATCAACTCATCAATGTCATCGATTTAAAACAGGTCTAATAGCGCCTTAGCGGAAGTTCACGGTTATTTAAACACTTTGCACCCTGATGTTACAGTACAGTGCCGTCGCCACAGGACCCGTGGTCCAAACTGAGCTGCCTTTGATGGTATTGTTTCAGGAAAATCCCCCAAAACGGCACGCTGGAGCGCCGACGCTGCTCACAAACTGACTCCAACGATGATCTGTGCAGGCTCTGGATGTCCCAGTGGCCGTTTAGGCTCCAGTGAATTAGTATCCGCTCCACATCCGCTCAGGGAGCTGGGCATCCCGGGAGGGCAGAAGGGTATGTACCGGCACCAGGAGGAAGCAGACAAGTAAGCGCTGAGGCCAAAGGGGAGGTTGTAGACTTCTCCGCTCTCCAGCGTGTTGCTGGAGTCGTCCTCGTGAGCCTTGTTCCAGGCCAGGATGCCTCGTTCATGCTTTGATCCTGTTGGACACGAGTTAAATGTGTTAGAGCCTGACTCGGCCTTCATGCTTCATCCTGACTTTGCTTGTTTGTTCTTAATGAAACGTGGGAATGCCGTATCGAGCTCCACAGATATTCTTTGTACTTGGATAATGTTTCTCCAATAATATAGATTTACATTACATAAGCCTTTAACTCTTCATACGGTGGATATCTGATGGATTTTCAGTCCAAGTGTTTTCTAATTCCACCACCAGCAGCTACAGACCTGCTGGAATAAAAACTAAAGAATAAAAAATGTTGCTCTCAGGCTACAAGTGAAGAAAACAGAAAAGCAGAATTATTTTTTAAATATATTTCAGGGCTTTTTTTATAGTTCAGTGTTGTAACTGGTAATGTTTTCTGGTATATTTGCTGAATTCATAACCTTTAACCACATTTCAAAGGGACTTTGTGTCCTTCTTTGGACTAAATTTCAAAATTAAACCATTGCCAAATATTTAAGCATTTTCCAGTCTTATGCTGCGTTTAACATCATGATGTAATTCATAAACATAGACAAGAATGTGGAGTGATCCATCCATCCATCCATCCATCCATCCATCCATCCATCATCTACAACCAAGCACACTCACATTCACACCTATGAACAATTTACAATCACCAATTAACCTCAGCATGTTTCTGGACTGTGGGAGGAAGCCGGAGAACCCGGAGAGAACCCACGCTGCACGGGGAGAACATGGAGACTCCTGATTTAAACATAACAAATAAAACAATGATGTGATGACATACCTGGGATAGTGTTGTCCAGTATGAAGCCGAAGAAGCCTCCAACAAACATACTGGTTGTCAGAAGGACCTGCAGCACCTGGTCAAGCTCCACCACACCTGCATGTGACATCATGCACAGAGTTAAACCTCTGTTTAAGTGATATGAAAAATGCAGATTATATAAGATATTGATGCACCTGTAGAGATTGCTTTTGGATTGTTTAATATCCAGTTGGGAATGACCAGACCGGAGAACATGGAGAAGCCAAAGATGAAGATGTTTCGAGATGAATTCATGTCTGCGTACTAAACAAGTGGTTGGAACACAAAGAAAAACAAATTAAATGTGAATGCCATGAACAGATGTGCCATACCTGATGTTTTAGGGTGCGTACCTGCAGATTGGAGACTCCTGCTGCAGAGATGACGCCAAACATGACCATGAACATGCCTCCTATCACGGGGGACGGGATGGTGGTGAACGCAGCGCCTACTTTACCGAACACGCCCATCACCACCATCAGCACGCCGCTGGCCACGATCACCATACGACTGCCCACCTGCAAACCACACGGGGAGAGTCTCTTAACGTCGTCTGTTTAAACCATGACCTGCATCTGAGAGCTCAATGCATTGAAAACATAAGACACGCAAACAGACGAAACACAGGCAAGCTAAGAAAACATCATATGCAATCTGAAAACGTGTGCAGTGGTTAATGCTACAAAGACAGAAAACAGAACCCAGAACTAAAACATGAACCGCAAATCGCTCAGACTATTATGGAAATGTTTCCAGGGGGATACGGGACACGTTGGCAGGAACACGCTTGTGGTTGCCATGGTGATATGAAGGCGTTGTAGTCAGCTGTTCAACAGTGGTGTTGGAGATTTAGCTAAAATTAAATAAATAAATAAATAAATAAATTTTAAAAAATTAAAAGGAAAAAAGAAAATTAAATAATTCAAAATAAAAAAATAGTTAAAAAATAAATAAATAAATAAATAAAAAGAAAAGAAAAAAATAAATACAAAATTTAATAAAAGTAATTTTAAAAAATGAATTTAAAAAAATGTAAAAAGGAAATTTAGCTAAAAGACTTGTTTCAAACCCTGTAGCGTTTCTGGACTGGGTTTTTGTTTTGTTTTTTCTGAATGCAGCTTGTGTTTCCCTAAAGAATCCTCTAGTTTTAAACCTTCTTCATATTGTGCTTTTGTAAAATGCTGGAAGACATATAGTGAGCAATGTCATATAAATATAACATTTCCAACATGAAGCTGAAGAGTCAAATACATTCTGAGATTTGGGCAGCCTGGATTTCATATACAACAAATCTGAGAAACCAATAGTGTGGCTGGTGTGCTCGAGCTGCAGCAAGTAGGGAAGGATTACATAGAGGCAGGTATTTCATAGAGCTGCACATTCTAGAGGAAACAACAGGATAGAGTTACATCTGAGTCATTTTAAGGCAGGAAGGGCTTATTTTCACCAAAAAAATCTAAACGTGTATTGTTGGTATACAGAGATTAGATTTTGGAGTTAAATCAAAGACTAGAGAAGGACTTCAGCAAATGAGATCAGTTTACCATTCTATTATGAATTCTCAGTGTTCCATACTTGTAAAACCTCCTCCTCACCTTGAACAGTGAGTTTTATTTATACAAGTCCATGAGCCAACCTATGAGTGAGGCGACATTAATGCACATGTCCAGTTGGCTGCACAAAGCAAACGCAGAACCTTAAAAACCTTTTTGTGCACCCACCGGATAGGCAGTTTCCATTTGAGTGCATATGCACCACCTTTAAGTCCAGAGTCCAGTTCTCCAACACATCCAGTACGTTTAGCTCAGCCTCTATCTAAATCACATTGTCTTACCTTTGTTATCCCGAGGGCTCCAACATTCTCACTGTACGACGTGGTGCCGTTTCCGGTACCCCAGGCACCGGCCAGCAGGCAGCCTATCCCCTCGATGCCAATGCCCCTGTTGATGGCGTGTTTAGGTGGCGGTGGGGCTCCAGATAGCCTCGCACAGGCGTGGTAGTCCCCGACAGACTCTATCATGGAGGAAATCACTCCAGCCAAGATGCCAACGACGCCCGCTAGGCTCACGGTCGGCATCCCCCACTGACCTGATTTTGAAATCAACCACGAAGAAACAGGAAATTACTCAGTACACACAAGCAGCAATGGTTTATTACTAAACTCCCACCCAAAAAATAACTTTGGTAATCCCTGTTGTCTATATCCAAAACCTGGTTTAGCTCATTCAGTAGTGCAATGCAGGTCCATCAGTACCCAAAACCTTTTCAGAACTATCACCATATCATTGCAGTGGGTGGCATGTTCCATCAGAGCAAGAAACATTGGCTTTATAGAGCAGAAACAGTTCACCTGTAGTTCAACAGAACAGCTTCTAAGGGAGCGGTCAGGCTTTGGACCCACTACAAACACTCAGTGGGATTGAGTGACAATAAAAAAGAGAAACTCACCAATGTTTCTGCATTTTCTTACCTGGGTATGGAAACGTGAACCAGGGAGCTTGGCTTATGACGTCTCCCTTCAGATCGGTGCGAGCCAGGTACCCGTACTGGTCCGGCTCAGTGGGCAGCACGTTGTAGGTGGTCAGAAGGTAACAGATGAGCCAAGACAATGTGATGCCAAGCAAGACCTTAAGACACGTAGGGGGGAAATAAAATCACATTGGTTGTCTTCTCAGATGATCTTTAACATTAAACATATGATTGTTTTGTACGTACGGGGAGGATCTGAAAGACGTAGACTCGAGAGGTGTGCAGCTTCTTATCCTTGCTGTATGTAGGAAAAGGCACTGAGATGTGACGAAGGTACTGAGAGAACAGGATGATCAGTGCTGTGGTCCTGTGAGAGAGACAGGAAGGAAAAAACACAATATAATATAAATTCACAGCAGGTCTCACCATCAGAAAGAAATAAAGCAATTATGCCGGTTCCTGGGAAAGAAATGTGTAATAGGCTTTCCTCCCCTGACTTAAGATAAACACTTTACACAGATTTCCAGAGTATTATTATTTTTTTAAAATCTTGGCTGTACTCCAAGCAGGAACCAAAGTAGATTAAACATAAACTGTAGGACACGATAAGCAAAATGTATTAAAATGGCACGACCTCCTGTCTGCAGAGATCTCAGCCGAACCAACAGCCCACTCTGTTGCTGTCTAACACTTACAGGGTTGTATTATGTGGAGCAGGACCAGAACTTTAGACAGAAAATATCATTTAAAAACAATATAAATCTCTGCAGCATGATGAGTCCATAAAAGGTTTAGTCAGTCCACTCACATTGAAGAGATGCCCCAGTGGTTGCCAGCGCTGCTGCCGGCCGAGTCAAACAAGGACAGGCCGATGAGGGAGATGGTGGGAGCGATGGTGAGCGGTCCGATGAAGCGCATGAAGAGGCCGATGAGGCCCGAGAAACCGACAAACACCTGGAAGAGGGAGCCCACCATGATGGATCCCTGCAGCTGGAAATAAACGCGAGTGCATTAGTAACGTCAAGGCGGTCTTCTCACAAAGGCTTCTGCCAGAACTTTGCACATCATCTGCAAATTAGACCTTGGTTGGAAAATCCATTTATGGTACACTAACATCAGGGTTAGACTGAAAAACTGAGGCCATGTTTCTCTGAAACTATGGAACTTTCCTTTAAGTCCATCCATCATTCCACCGTCCATATGTTGAGCTGTAAAGCAATCCAACAGGTCTAACCCACTTCCAACCTTCAAGTGCACAATCTAAAGTGCTCTGATGTCTTAAACTTAACAAAGCTATTCACCTCTTCTTGTCACAGGTATTCTGACCAACTATGACCGTTACATGTTTTAACCATTAAGGCAGTTCCAAGGACTCGTCATAATCCTGCCTTTTAAAAACCACATGCATGTAACTCCCACCCATTGAATTAACACTGTCTCAGCTACCACAACAACTGCAGCTCTGCATGACTAATGTTTTAATATGCCTGCGCAAGGACTGTTCAAGCAAGAATAAAATGTACACACATGATATTAGCATGCTTAAAACAACGAGCATGTCCCAGCACAGTCACCAGGACTGATGCTGGTTTCCATGAACAGACCGTTTAAAACATTCTTCATCGTGTAATTAAAAAGAAAATCGTGCTGCTCCAGGTGCTGACTCAGGTTCAGTGAGTTGAAAGTTGTGATTAAAAAGGTGAGTTTGCTTACTGCTCTCATTCGACTCTGCCACACCTCCGTGTAGTTTGCGGAGGAGGTGTTGACCAAGCTGGCGTTCTGAGTCCAGGCAGGACATGTCCACTCTGGCATGGACAGCATGGCCATGCAGGGGGCCAGCAACGTGAAGGTGCCCCCTTGGAGAATGGGCAGTCTGGTGGTAAAGATGGTAAAAGACATAAACAGACAGGCAAGGGGTGGGAAGGTAGTTAGTTTAGTATGATCGGTGCAGTTAAACTGATTTGCCTTTTAATGACCTGAACAGGTAAGAAACAGAGTTCTCAGGAATCTCTCGTCTATATTTCTTTCAATCAAATATGAGGAAGTGGCTAATTTGAATCATGTGAAGACTGAGAGTCGCTCTCTAATTAGACAAACCGGAGGTTAAGTAAATTAAAGTAATATGCGATGCAGTGATCCTCATCATGCTGCTCGCTTCACCGTCAACAACCACCATCACACTGCAGCTGAACCTCAACTTTCCAGCAGCAGCCTGAGACTCGTGGGGATTTTAAAGACACGCAGCCAGGAAATATGTTTTAATGGGAGATAATAAGGTTTTCATCCCAAAGGCCCACAGATAATTAACATTGTTTGCTTTTGGTTTGCCTGGAACGGAGCGCCAACAAACACACCGACTGTTGTTCCTCACAGCTGACTTCCAGGTAATTGGAGCAACACAAGAAAGCATCAGTGGTGCTAAGCCAAGAGAATGTGGGTTTTGTAAGAGCTGGATTCCGAACATAATAAGATGGAAATTCCTCAGCTAATCCAACTGTGACACCGATATTCCTGCAGGCCCAGAGTGCATACATACAATTTAGGTTCAGAGCTGCAAAACATGGTTTGAGTTTGTGGTTCTCCAGAATAAAACCAGGCGCTGCGTCGTGTTTATTCTCCTGTGGATGCGTCACCTCCAGTGTCAGAGCAGCGAGTTTCCATTCTGGCGTTCACACAAGACCTTCTCTGGTGCTAATATTAGCTCGTATCATCGTGTTGTGTTGAAGTGAGCATGAGGACAGCCAAATGGTGGTTTGTCTTGACAATGAGAAACAATATCAAGATGTACTCAAAAGCATCTTAATGCAGAAACTAAAGCTGCTTGATGCTTCATCTTCCCGGTAATCCCCTTAAAAGAAGCTGCGTCCTCTAACCAGGAGAATATTCCATTGTTCACCACACATGCTAATTTTGGCAGGACTCACAGTTCGAAAAAGGTTAAGAAGAAAAGCTGAAGGTTTGCTTAATAAGAAGGAAGTTAATTCCACTTTAATGCAACCTCCTGTACTGCTGGATTACAGTGTGAGAGCTCAGACTCCCACAGCACCAGAAAAAAAAGCAGTGAACTGATAAAACTTATCCAGATAATTAATGTAAATCATTGTGCAATTAGACAGAGTGCAGGCATCTCTTATTAAACCACACATTTTACACTCCGGCAGCCCACAAGACAATTAATTACTGCAGTCCTCCCACTCGTTAACGGGTTCTTCTCTCTGCTTCCTTACCTGATGCCGAAGGTAACCTGCAGCAGAGTGCAGATGCCGGAAACGAAGAAGATGGTGCTGATGAGGTGGCTCTGCGTGAGGCCGTCGTGCTGCAGACACAAGCCCTGAGACAGGATGAGGGGGATGGCGATGATGCCTCCGAACGCAGTCAGACAGTGCTGAGGGAGCAGAAAACACATCAAGGGATTCACTTCATCTTTGTTTGAGATACACATTGGAGAAAAAAAGCAGATAGAAGCACCATCCTGGACGTGACTGTAGGCCCAGGGACATGATTGAAGTCCGTAGATTCAACTGAAGCTAATTTCACAATCTGGCCTCCATAAATCAAACCGTCCGACCAAGCGTGAAGGAAACGTCCAGCAGATGCTCTCATGTGACACTGTGGTCATGTTTGCATTGTTATATAACATCAGAAGCCACGCTGGGAAACAAACTCATGATCAAACACGGGCCTGAACGCGGCCTCCTGCTGACGTACCTGGATGCCTAAAACGATGCACAGGTACCAGGGAGGGACGTCGGTCACGCAGTACGCCAGCTTGTTGCCATCTTCGTCCAGAGAGGAGTCCAGTTCCTCTCCTCCGTCTGGCAGATCACAGAAGCGTCCTTCCAGCTTTGAAGGAAAGACAGACGGATGGATAGGGTTCAACTAAAGAGCCATTTTAAATGATGGACTCGGCAGCAGTCTGTTCAAAAACATTAACAACAGAGCGCTTCAACATGTTGGTCAACTGGGTTCATTATGAAACACCCGTACATTTACCTGTCTTGACAAATCCCAGTAAGAGAACGTGATCAGATGCTTTTTCTTTAAATGGCAGCCATGAAAATAAACATTTTATTTAGCTTCCTGTTTAATCAAATCATTACAGGGTGGGATGAAAACAAGACGCAGTCAGCTCAGCAGCAGGGCTAAATGTCTTAAAGGTTTAAAACACTTTCAGGGAAAATCTTTTATTTATTTCACAGAGGTAGAAGCATCGTTCCATGTCTCCTCTGGTCCAACAGTGGGACGCTTATCTGTTCAATAATGTGGTTTTAAACACGGAGGAGCAGGAATGTAAACAAGAACATTCCTCTGTGTCCATGACGCCACTTTCTCAGCTTTTCTATCAAGAGTCAATTATTAACAGAGCACCTATTTCTGCTCTGACGTTAGAATGATGCAGCACAATAACACATTACTCTGATATTTCTACTCTGACATTATTTAAAAGTAAAATAAATCCATATGTGTGACTCACAGGTGGCTCACAACGATTCTCCACTTTGGAATCACATGTAAAGTCCATGTCAGGTCTGTGATCGTCTGACACTCACCGCAAAGGCGTAGTTGTCGAGTCCATTACTTTCCTTCTCTGGAGTCATGTCGAGGCTTCAGCCTATTTGTTCAGGTATTGAAGTTCTGCTGAGGAGCCAAGAAAGAAAACTGAAAAAAACATCAGTGAGAGAGGAGGGAGCCGACGGAGAGGACCGGAGCATCGGATGGAGGGAGGACGGGGCTGCTGGGAGGCGGGAGGACGGAGGAGGGGTGGGCTGGGCTGGACGGACAGCCGCTATGAAAAAGTTCAGACATGAGACTGCAGCTCTTGTTGATTGAAATGGAGACCCAGCAGCAGCTCATGTGAACCGAATTACAGCAGCAGCAGCTGACTGACCGGCACTTGGCAGGCAGGAGATACTCTGCAGTCGCTCTGCTGTGTTTTAACCTCACAGGGGAGGCCTGAGAGATTATACAGCAGAGGACAGGGTTAGAGTACAGGGTTAGGGTTAGAGGAGCCGAGGGAGCAAAGCTTAGATTTTCACTGTTTCAGGAGCAGTGAAGTCGGATATCTGCAGTCAGAGGTGCTCAACAGTTAAAAGCACAGTCCTCAGCCTGTGTGAGGCTGAGTCTTTTTAATTTCAACACCAAACATTTGCTTTAGGACCTCTGTGACTCTCACGAGCTGGCAAACCATCACCAAGTACAAAGCAGTTATTGATGAATGCTATCCTGTAAATGTCATTTTCCAGTTCACAATGCAGCTCTGTTTGGCCTCAAATCATTCTAAATGAAATTACATTATTAGTCTAAATTAAGAGTTTGATAGCAGCCACCGTCTCCGTCATTAAGATAATGAAGATGGCCTTAAAGGAGTTCATATGGCTGCAGAGGAAGCTCCTCCTCACACCGACTGCATCTGTATGTGGATCTATGTTCATCTGCATCCTCTGTCATGGGATTAATGTGCATCTCTCCTCGTTATAAAAGTCAGGATCCGGGTCACAAAGGGGGCGGGGCTCTGGGATGCAAAGAAAAAACCAACAGATGGCGGCGCTTCATTAAAGATGAGAACATCCCTACAGTGGTATCATACACACACCGTACACCCTCAGAGGACGGAGACGTCTGGAAAACGCTTCGTAATAATCCGTTTAATTGTTGTGCAAACACTTCACCCAAAACCACAAACGTCAACAGGCTTTGTTGTCACGGCAACCTTTAGAATCGCTTCTGAGTTATTTCAGTCAGGACCAGTGATGCAACCACCCAGCATCACAGCTAGAGTTTAATTTCATTCCAAAAACGTTCCAAGAAAGTTCCAAGTGAACATTTTTCAACTATGTTTTTGCCTCAGGTTGGATAATTAAAGTTACAGGTGACAACGTTACCAGAATGTTGTGCTCTGGCGTTCTCAGAACTAGTTACACTGAGGGCGTTCTTATTTGTCATCAGGGAACATTGTGGGAACGTTGTATAGATTCTGTAATGTGTTTCCTCAACAACATCCCCAAAACATTCTCAGAACATTGCGGGCAGAATGTTCCACCTTTGCTAGTATATTACACTAGAAGACTGTCTCATAAAGAACATCTGGATAACATCTGGAAAAGGTTTTTTTAATATTCGTTTGAGGACGTTCCTCCTTTGTTATCATGGAACATTTTGGAAATGTTCCACCTTCAGTTTATCACATTACAGGAACGTTACAAAACGTTATGTTTGAAAAAACACACATCTGAGGTCTCGATAACATCTGGAGAACATTTTCTGAACGTTGCATCGAGAACCTCCTTCCTTCCCGACACATTATAGAAGAACGTTCTAATATGAGTTCACCAAAACATTCTGAGAACATTGCAAGCAGAATGTTCCACTTTTGTTAATAAATTACGTTACAGGCATGTTTTATTTTTAAAAAAATCACAAATCATGTGAAGCCTCAATAACATCTGGAACGTCCTCTGAATGTTGGTGTTAAAACATTATAACTTTACAGGAACATTACTTAAAATGAAAACGTTCTTAAAATGTCTTTTGGAACATTTGATTTAAAAATAAATAAATAAATCTTGTAGATGAGGTTAGCCAAGGCTGTGAGACTGTTCCCTGGTAGCCAGTGGGAGGTTGGAGGAAAAAAGAAAAAGCACCAAACAGACGAGTTGAAAGAAATTGAGCTCACATGAAGCAGCAGCAGCAGCAGCAGTGAGGAGCATCAGAGGGGCATCATGAGGTCTGCTCGCTGTGCATGTGACTGTGTGTAGCGTAGGAGGAGGATTCATCACATGCCAGGTAGTGAGGCTCAGAGGCCGGGGGCAGGATTCTGTTCAGATACCTCATTAAAGTGTTAGAAGAGCAGAATCATTGTGTTCATACTCATGCATGTGTTAAATGAGCACTCAGTTAAAGACTTTCCTGACATAAACCGTCTCGGCGGATGTTTGTCTAATCATGAAACAACTTTGCGTAGAACGACTTTTCTGTCTTCCTTACTTGGTGAACTTCAGCCTAATTGTTCACCACGTCAATCACATCAGAGTTTTTGCATCCGACTGTAATTCGGAGGTGGGTGTGTGTCTGAGAGATGCCTTCATAATCTAATTAGCCGAAGGTTGACGTGCAAATCAATCACTGAGAGTACCGGGAATCTTTTACACAGTAATCTGCTGCACATGTTGCATTTAAAGGTAAATGTGAGCAAAACAAGAACAACTTTTACAGGACTCTGATTTCCCCGTTCACTGTGTACAGTATACTGTATACTATATACACTGTATACAGGTTATATTTAGCATTTAAAGCTTTACATGGAAAGTTTCACCTTTTTTTCATCACAATTTTTAATCATGGTTTCGTGACATTTTGTATTTAATATTTTTCTTATTTAGTTTTCCCCCAGGGATCAATAAAGTATTTCTATTCTAGTTTAACCTCTCAAGAGATGGCGTTCACATGCGTGGACGTCACATTTTGAGTTATATTACCACAGTACTTAATTAAAAAAATAAATATATATATAATTTATTTTTATTATTTTATTATTAATAATTTGTTTTCTTTTTTCTACTTTTTTGTTCTTTATATTTTTTATTTTCTTTACTTTTATAATAATAAAAAAATGCATATCAAACATGAGATCAGGTCTTAAGAGATTAAAAATTAGTTTTCAGATACTAATGTTTGACATCTTTATGAAGAGTCATAGCAATACTATTTGTAATATCAGAAAATGACCAATACTTTGTTAATAATTCAAGACAGTGGATGAAAACATTCTTTGCTATAAATGAATTTACCATCACAACCAGACACTTTTATGTCACATTAATAATTCAACATCTCATTATAACAAGTAAATCTTCTCCCATTGTTTTGGACATCTTGTGATGAATGATGTAAAGCATCAGGAATCCATTCCACTTGTGAGTCAGACTTGAAGAGTTGATCATTAATCATTTCTCATCGATTAGTTGGAGGAACGTGACCCGTCTGCCATCAGAACCGGCGGTTCCGCTCCATTAGGAACCATCTCCTGTCCTGGACTAAACTCTGTGAAGCCGATCAGGTTAAACTGGACACTGAAAAATGTAGAGAAATAAACTTTAAAATGGCAAAATTAGACAAAACTGTAGAAGCACGCTCAGATACAATGAGGTCAGTATTCTGACTGCTGGGGAGCCAACCAGGGACACAATCTCATTATTCATAAAAAAGAAGAAAAAAAAAAAAGCTGCCTGAGTAAAACCAGTTGATCTTATCTCCTGCCCCGCTGTATCCTGTGACCTGCTAATTATACCAACGAGGCAGCTTCAGGTTGCATAAGCTCCTGTTTCTACACTCAAATCACAAACTGTTGCTCATAATCGTATTTTTTAATCACCGTATCTGAGGCTAAGTGTGATGAACTGTCAGCTTCTCTTTGTTTATGTGTGGATTTGATTTGTTTTATCAGTCCTACTTATGAGTCCAGAGCCAGAATCCCTGCAGGCCTTACGGGACAAAATATGGGTCACAACACAAGTGAGGTAGAAAACTTTTCCCTCTGCAGGGCTCATGTTACCGTAATGTCTGGACTATAAGCCTCTGCTTTTTTCACACGCTTTGAACACTGCGGCTTAAACAACGATGCGGCTAATTTATGGATTTCTTTAGTGAGCAGGAGGAAGATGCAGACAGCATGAGTGACTTTTCCTGGTAGGCTGCTGTAGTTTTTATTTTCTTAACCAGCCGTGTTACAGGCACCGTTCGGAAAAAAACTTTTACGGTATTTGTGTATGTTACCGGTACGTATTTAATTAAAAGTTTAAAAAAATCTTCCTGTGTAGATATCATGTGTTCCAAAGGGGACACCTGCAGCTTACAGAAAAGTGTGGCCTGTATATATATGTACACATGTTTTTTTATTTTTAAAGTTAGTGGGTGCGGCTTATATTCAGGTGCCTCAATAGTCTGGAATTTACGGTAACTGTTGTGTATGAAAATATAGAATTTTCATTCTAATTTATGTTCGTTGCCTCTGAGTAAAAGCTAAGTCCTCGGTATTTGTTGTGACGACTGCAAACCGTCCTCACTGTAACTGAAACACTGAAAGAATTCTGGACTGGAGGCGTTAAGTTTGAACCCAGACAAGGACTTCAGTATTTCTGTTCCATCCAGCTTTATTCTTGGACGTCACCACATCTTTGAGGCAAACACTGGCGTGTTTACTCTGGCAGCTTTATTTACTGGTTACAGTTTTTCCTTTTGAGCGCTGAGCTGAAGGATTAAGTGCTGATAAAGTTCTCTTACTCCTTAATAACCCGTTTAAAACCCGACTCAATTAGCTGGAAGATGCATCGTCACAAAGCTGAGAGTGGAAGTGCTTTTCTGAGCTTCTTAGAAGCTGACTTTTTAGAGATATATGATTAGACAGACAGGACTATGATGTAATGCTGTAGGTTCTAAACAGCAACCCAACTCAAACAGAACTTAAAATGAGCTCCACCAGTAAACATGCACATCACTGCAGCAGCAACACGCTGTTCATCTAAAAACACCAGGCGTCATAAAACACTGACAGGAAGTAGTTTACTGCAGAATGAGTACTTTTACATTTAGCTGACAATATCTTTATATTTTATAAGTTTTGTTATTGCAGGACTCTTAATGTCGTGGATTATTTTAATAGTGTGGCATCAGCAGGTGAATTTTAAGGAAAGCATC